TATATATATATATATATATATATATATATATACAATATAAAATTTATTATGAACAAGTTATAATATTTAATAAAATAATATTTAGTTTAGCCTTTCTTTCCGAAGGCTAAGTGCATCCTTAAAAAAGAAGAAAAATCAAAATAATAAAAAAGTGTCGCTATTCGTACCCTATTCAAGGAAAGTGCTAAAAGCATAAGCAATCTTTCAATGCATGAAACGGAAATACAGAAAACTATTCACAATGTCAACAGACTCTTTAGTATGGTAAAACTGACGTCATGGTATCACATGTCATGTTTGCACAATAAAACAAATAATTCCAACACAGCAAAGTCAGTTTTACAAGTTTCTATTTCAAGAAACTACTGGAATCATTTGGAAAAGAAGGAAAACAAAAAAAGCCCTTTAGCACTACCAATTACATGTAACTGCTGTGTGTTTCATAAACAGTGAGTTTCCAACCTCCTCCCTATAGATATGTACAGGCTGATGTTTCTAACAGCAACAAAAGCAGCCCACTGGAGCTGAACCCTCCAATCCCACAATGCCCTCTGCTCTTACCAGCAATGACCCCGGAGGCAAGAGTGGACACGACGGGCGTCTTCTTCTCGCTCACTCGTGCCAGAAACGAGAAGAGCAGACCGTCCCGGGCCATGGCAAAGATTATACGTGGGAGGGGGAACAAGGACCCCAAGAGACTGATCATGGGATGATCAAAAAAAGGAAGAGAGCAGAAAAGAAACACATAAGCCAACTGGGCAGCTGCCAGAGGTGGTGTCAAAGGCAGAAAAGGGATAAATCCAGTTTATTTACGAAGAAAACAGTTAAACGAATCCCGTTGTAGCTGTCGGAGAACGGCTGTGCTGCCCAGCCCATTCCAGCTATAGGTTCAGTGCTGCGAAAACGTTTTTTCCATGCAACATGCTCCAGGTGGACGGATGCGCGATACTGCGAACGCAATGCGACGTCAGTAGATTAGTAGCATTAAAATTCGCTCACCTGCGACAAAGCCTGCTGTTATAGTGGCGTGTATGGGAGTTTTTGTTCTCTCGTTGATCCCAGTCATGAATTTGAAGAGCAGGCCATCGTCAGCCATGGCCCAGATGACACGGGGCATGGGGAACATGGCGCCAAGCAGGCTGCCGCGAGAGATGGAGAAAACAAACCATGCCATGCAAAAAAGAGACACAGACATAGTGCATTCATACACTGCTGTGGTGTTATTATAAGAGAGAAACATGCCACAAACAGGGCACCACCCCCACCAATCAGAAGTGATATTAGACCATCCAGAAAAAAGATAAATTAATTGCAAGAGCATAAGGATCAATCTCTTGGAATGAATGTTTTAATTATTCAAAGGATGATTTTAAAGGTGAAGCATGTAATTTCCATAGTAAAGTACTTGTGGTAACAAGTGGCATTGCAAAAATAATGATTGTTTCCATATGCATCTACCACCCACCTCAGATGACCACATAAACAAACAGAGAAATGTTTTGAAAGCGCCACATAGCCACAGCGTTTGCTCTTCAGGGAAATCAGTCTACAAATACTTCAAAACACTTCTAATTTAATAGGCTGGTGTTACACAACGTCTGGGATTTAGGTACACAGGGCTTTATCAATTCACCTAGTGTTAAGGCACGTTCACACCAAAATCGACTATAACGATAACTATACTAGCGTACAAACCAAAGGACAATAACATTCCGTTTATTATAAGAGTGCGCTACAGTTTTGTTGTGTGTCGCTTTAAAAGCTAGAGTGCTTTTAAGTTGAGTGGACTCTGATTGGCTGTTAATATTTTTATCGTTCATCAGCTAAAAAAAAAACATTTTGAAAGTGATTCCTACAATATTGTTCCTCTGTGTCGTTAACGTTATAGTTGTGGTATGGCCTTCCCTATTCTCATAGAAGTACAAAGATTATTAAAATGGTATAAATATATATGTTTATTATTTAAATTACTTTTTACAACTATAATTAAATGCTCTATATTAATAAATACGACAAAACACTGACTATGACTACCATTTTTATTTGCAGCATTTAGTAGCATGTAAACCAGATATCCATTAGAAGATATCCACCGTTTGTATTTTGCGTTTTTAAAATTTATTTATTTTAGGGCTGTCAAACAATCATGATTAAATTGCATCCAAAATAAAAGTTTGTGTTTACATAATATTTGTGAGTGTGTGCTCTGTATATTTATTATGTATATATAAATACACACACATGCATTTATATATTTTAAAAAATATGTATATATAATTTATATTATAAATACATATTTTATATATAAATATAACACTTTTCTTAAATATATTATTTATATCACATTGGTCAAACAATCGGTTTGTGTCTAAATCGGCGACAGTTCTCCACAATAATAAGCTGCAAAGTGGACCAGACTTCATGCCGATAGTCAAAAGTAGGTAGATATTTGAAGTGATAAAATTACACACTTCACTTTTGAATGGATTCCAAAACAGTATTTAATACTGAAAATACTGCACTAACTGGAAACCAAAAAGAAAAACGCCAATAAATCTACTTCAACTCTGCAGCTACCGACGTTATCATTAGCGACTCAGAAGTTAGGCGGGTTGTTAGAAGGATAAGAGGTTTAGAACTTGGACAGATCATGCAGAAGACACTCTCACTTGATAGATTACACACAATTCATACTTCATAGTACATGAACATTTCTGAGCAACAACATCTGGTGTGTATGCATGTAGGTCATTACTATAAGACTAATTACTGCCTGACTTACGGATAGAAAAAATGTGGCATAGAGTCTTACTCCCACTCATGGCCTGAACTGAGTGTTGTATAACTGAGAAACAGGATTCATAACTCAGCACACCAAATTTCCCTTCATATTTTTAGCAAGGGGCTCATAAGAGCTGCCTCAGATAAATACACACACACACTATCACGCAATCCAGTCCCAGATTGCACTCTCTCAACCTCCCTAGGGTCGTCCGAGTTCACTAAGTAAAATTTAATGATTGGGTTGGTCAACTGCCAAAAGGTTGTGCTATCAAAATGACTGAGGTCTTTTAAACTGCAACCAGGCTTGCGGGTAATTACATCCATTCATTTCGAGGAACATGGGTAATTATTCATTTCAAGTACATTTTTGGGTCGGTTTACTCTAGACTGGGCTGTAGTGTGTGTTAAAACAATCCCTGACTGGATGGATCAGTGCTTACCTGGTGGACAGGGCGCAAAGGGAGCCTACCGCCACAGCGTACGTGGCTCCTTCCCAGCCGACATACTTAAAGGCCACGGGAAGTGGGCTGTTCTTATCCAGCATGTAATACGGCATCATCAAGGTGAGGGCGGCCGATACACAAAAGTACGCTACAAAACAGATAAGGAGGGAGGAGACGATGCCGATGGGAATGGCTCTCTGGGGGTTCTTCACCTCCTCACCTGTAATGCGAAACAAGATATTGTGTTTTCAAATGGTAAAAGGTTGCATGCTGGACTCAAACCTGCATCGTCCATATAAGAAACTAAGCTCAACATGTCAGCACAATCGCTGTGTCACAGCATAAATAACCTTGGCAAACCAAAGGAGGCCACAAACAGACCTATGCATAGACTATCAAATGACACAAGTTCTTAGACATTTTTTTTTCCCTAGAGAACATTAATGTAACAAGATACCAGTTTATTTTCAGCTCTTTACATTATTGATATGTGGGTATTTAATTTTGTCCCATCATATCCCATGACACGACTGATCATTATTGTGTGAAATAGAAAACCGATTGTTGGTTGTCTTTTAATTAGTGACTCTACGAGTACTATGGATGTTTCCAAGTAAGATAAAATAAAATAAAATAATAAAAAAAGTAATTTTAAGATAGTTTTAAAAAAAGTTACATTATATAGATATATATATATCTGCAATAACGAAAAATAGATAAAATTGCCATTGCAAGAAATAACATTGCCATTACCAAGGAATATAGTCACAATTATATATTTTTTCATCAGCATATTATCATTATTAAAATCTGAGATTGGTTTCCCTAAAATACAGTATATGAATATAGATATTTGGTTCAGTTATATTTTGTATATAATTAATTTAATAATTTGTGCATTTAGCAGGCGCCTTTATCCAAAGCAACTTACAGTGCATTCAGGCTATACATTTTTTACCAGTATGTAGGAATCGAACCTACGAACTTTTGCGCTCCTAACGCAATGTTCTACCACTGAGCCACAGGAACACATATAAAATTGTAACATGCTTAAAGGTTGATTTTTTTTGCGATATTAAAATGTTCCTTCAGCAAGAATGCATTAAACTGATCAAAAGTGATAGTAAAGACATTTATATTGTTACAAAAGATTTCTGTTTAAAAAATGCTGTTCCTTTGAACTGTTTCAAAAAATCCCGAAAAACAGTTTCCACAAAAATATTAAGCAGTAATATTAAACTTTTCAATTTGTTCGATACTGTTCAATACTCAACTGCAATACTGTTCCAAATTGAACACTGATGATAATAAGACATGTTTCTTTAGCATCAAATCAGCATATTAGAATGATTTCTGAAGAATCATGTGACACTGAAGACTGGAATAATGATGCAGAAAATTTATCTTTGCCATTACAGGAATAAATTACATTTAAAAATAAAATAAAACAGAAAACAGCTCTTTTAAATAATAATAATAATAATTTTTAACACAATATTTTTGTTTGTACTGTATTTTTGATCAGATAAATGCAGCCTTGGTGAGAACAAGACTTTTTTCCCAAAGACTTTAGAAAGTGTTACAGACCCCAAACGTTTGAACAGTAGTGTACATTATATTGACATTCATTCAACTACAGTACATTTAATCTTGCCATTAAATCAGTTAAAGGCACACTCCATGTGAAATCCGTCCTTTTATGATGCCTCAGAGTAAGAAAATGAGCTACTGCAGTGAGTAGTGCGAGCATGTTCGCTATTGGCAAAAGTTCCTGTGGTTTGACCTTGAGCAGAACACTACATAAAACAGAGGAGTAGTGTGTTCATGCCAGAAGTGCCAGAGAGAGCACAGGAACACGGCTATATTACCATTCCTGACCAGCATGTGGATGAGGAGGGGTTACTGAATGTGAACCACAGCTACAGGGAGAGACGAGAGACGAGTCTAGACAAACCCTGAAACACTCTAGCCAATCGAATGCAAGGGAATGTGGGGGAGTGAGCCGCCATAAAAGAGGGGGGCCAGAGGAAAACCATAAGCAGAGATCCACTGAGAATATCCATGCAGTACTATTATAAACATAAAGGAAACTCTAAATAACTTTGACCAAAGCGACATGAACGCAAGCCAAATATGTAGGTAGAATAATAGCCTCACTGTTGTACCAATCTAACACTTACACGCATACAAAACAGGCTTCTTGCACAATTTGCTCTCACTAACCTCATGCTTGTGGACATGCATCATATATTTGAGCTTTATTTTCTGCTTTCTAAAGATTAAACATGAGATTTGAGCGCACTGGAGTTTAGAGTCTTTAGTTACCTGTAGTTGCGATACAGTCGAACCCGACAAAGGCATAAAAGCAGGTAGCGGCCCCTGATAAGACCCCTGTGAAGCCGAAAGGCATGAACCCACCTTCACCCAGAATCTCTTCTGTTGGCAGGGGCTGTGTGGCACTGCTCAAAGAGAGTAATGCAGACATTTTAAACATGCCAAACAACAAAAATATAAAATAGACGGAAGTCTATTGAGGTCTATCATTATTATTATTTTTCTGTCTCAGTTTTGTGAGGTAACACTGAAAAAGCTGATATATAACTTGTTTTCTAATGGAAACGTTTGAAAAAAAAAAAAAAAAAAAGTCAATATATACAGTACTATTCAAAAGTTTGCAGCCAGTAAGGTTTCTTTTTAAAATAAATTAATAATTTAATTCAGCAAGGACCCATTAAATTGATCAAAAGTGATAATAAAGATGTTTATAATGTTAGAAAAGATTTCTATTTCAAATAAATGCCGTTTTTTGGAACTTTTTATTCATCAAAGGATCCTGAAAAAAAGTAGCACAACTGTTTTAAACATTGATAAAAAAAATAACAAATGTTTCTTGAGTATCAAATCAGCATATTAATATGTTTTCTGAAGGATCATGTGACACTGAAGACTGGAGTTTTGCTGGTGAGCAAAAGAGACTTGTTAAAAAAGTAAAAATCCTACTGACCCCAAACTTTTCAGTGGTATGTAATTTTGTGGCATACTTGAAAACATATTCCAAGATAAATTTCCAAATGTCGTAAAACACGACTCACTTAATGGTGGAATTGTTTCCGTTAAGAATCTCATCAGGGTCCAGGTGCCAGTTCTTCAGTGTACCTTTGACCAGTCCAGATACAACCATGAACAACAGCACCAGGATGTTGATGCAGGTGAACACTTTGGTGACCATGGCTGACTCCTTCACCCCGAAGGCCAGAAGGCCTATAGCAAACAAAACGTAGTTCAAAACACTACGGAACAAAGTCAACACAAACATACACTAAATATTTACATTCAACAGCTTGCATTTTCAGAATGAATGAGTGTGTTTCACAGTCACTGTTTTGAAATAAATATTTCAATTTATATACATAACACTGTACGACACTCTGGAACTCTCAATTGTAATTGGTCAGTCATGGCTCCCTATGTAACTAGTGTTTTACCTGTGAGAGTGAGGATGATGAATACGGAAAACATATCTGGGTACTCCGCCAGAATGCCCGGAGCATTCATAGACATGTATTGTCGACAAAAATGCTCAATTTGCTTTCCAATGAGCTCATCAAATGTGGCACTCCAAGCTCTGGCAACACTTGATGTACCTGAAAAGGTTTTACATATTGAGTAACATTATATAACAATGAAAAGAAAAACATAAGGAAATGTAAAACCCTCACTATGGGGTCCATCTAGTGTTTGGTTACCCATTTCCCCAAAATATCTTCTTTCGTGTTTAATAGAAGAAAGTAAGTCAAACAGGTTTGGAAACACTTAAGGGTGAGTAAATGATGACATAGAGTTTTCATTTTTGGGTGAACTATCCCAGGTGATTTTCTGTGTTGACTCACCTATAACGTATGAAAGTATTAGGTTCCAGCCAGTTATAAAGGCCCATAGCTCCCCTACAGTCACATAGCTGTACAGGTACGCTGAGCCCGTTTTTGGCACTCTTGCCCCAAACTCTGCATAACAGAGGCCAGCGAGCACTGAGGCCAGGGCTGCAATGAGGAACGAAAGCACGATGGCCGGTCCGGCATTTTCCCGGGCAACCGCTCCAGCGAGGACATACACCCCAGCTCCCAAGGTGCTGCCCACACCAAGAGCCACCAGGTCGAAGGTGTTCAGACATCGGGAGAGTCGCGAGTCCTCTGAGTTGCAGTCGACAACCTTCACTCTCAGCAGCTGTTTCCCGAAACGCAGAAGCTTTTTCAAAACCATCATTAATTTGATTTGACGACAGCTTCTTTTTGTGCCTCGTTTTTCAAAGTTTCTCCTCTCACAATGTTTCTGCTTTACCCACCAACGCAGAGGATTCACAATGTTTGGAATATTGTTCAGATGTGTTGTTTACCTTTAGGAAAGAAAAAAAAATTAACTTGAGAAAGTGGCAATGGTAGTTTGTCAAATGTATGATGTCAAATGATGACAACCATATCGGTATTTTCTATTGGTAAAATGTCACATTAAAAGTAAAATAAAACAATAAAGTACAGCCAAATAATGATTAAATGTAGTTGGAAGCCAAACCAAAAAAAAGCAATGACGGGCCCAAGCCCCGGTGGCACCAGAGAAAGTTTTTAATTGAAAATATTGTTCACCTAAAAAATGAAACAAACAAAGCAGTGAGTACATTCTTCAAAATGTATTTTTATTTCTTACAAGAAAAGTCATAAGGACATAGAGTGAGTAAACTTTGACTTTCTATTTTTCTCAAGGAATCACGCTTTACTTTAGTACTACACTTTATTTCTAGATATGAACAAAAATGCTATGTACAGCAATCTGGTTAATGTGGTTACCCCTTCCCAGTTTAACCAAAGTAGCTGGTTATTTTCCTGATATTTTCCACCAGATATGAGTGTTTAAACACTGCAAACATGTCCTTTTTTAAAGTTCCAGAACACAAACCAGCACATTTGTGGTGAGAATAGCAGCTGTCCTGTGATTTACGGACATAAAAACATGCAGAGCACTCACCCATATCCATTTAAACTTCAAGCCAAACAATAAAAACAAACCCAGTACATATCTGATGACACTGCAAGAGAACTCTACACTGTATTCTAAACCGCAACCTAACCTCTTGAATGAAAAGCACATTGCGATTCCCAAAAGCCAAGTGTCAAAATGTACTGTACTAAACGTACAAATGGGCGGCAGCTCTCCAGTCAATAAGTTCATACAGCTGCGCTGTCTCCAGTTTAAGTCCTGCACTCTTTTCCCAAGTGTTGAGTAACATAGAGAGAAATCCATAAAATGTGACTGGTGGCAGAGCTGGAGAGGCCCACCGGGGGATAATCTATCATACTCACACAAACTGACAGGTGTTACGTAACCAAGAGTGGAACTTAATGGCAAAAATACATGCAATTGCAAAAGAACAACTAGGATCTGTGTTTGCAAGCTCTGTGAAGTTAATTTGCAAGTGAATGTAAATGAATCTCTCTGTGCGTGAAGCAACCATCACACTATAAATGCGAAGCAGTAAATTTGATCGTTTTCTCACATAATAATAATTTTAAAAAACCCTTTCGGGAGTAAATAACTAAAAGTCGTCACACTATTACATTTTTTTCAGCAGCATGAAAGAAGTCACTTTTTTTCCAAGCTAATTTTGCCAATGTGTATCGATATAGCAGAAAAACACACTGTTTTTTTCTTAGATATGTTATTGCAATGGACCAATAAAGATCAATAAATCCTCTCTTATACCTAGCATTGGGATGCATGAATCACTGTAGTGAAATGGTTCAAAAACTGCTCTGCTTAAGGTCGTAGCTGGTTTAAGCTGGTTTACCAGCTGGTCGGTCAGCCTAAACCAGTAAAATAGACCTGCCTGTTCAAGCGGGGAGTTAAAACTAAAACCAGTTAAGGCTGATTTAAGCTATTTTTAGCAAGATAATCGAGATTCTTTATTGTTTTGTTTTTTTTGCTAAATATTTATTACTCTGAGAATAAAACAAAATAAAATAATCATTAACTAACACACATATAAACACACTCATATATATGCATGTACAAATAGCTTGTAGTTACCAAATATAGTCAGCTAGTTTTCTTAGAAACATGTTGTGTAGCTAATCACTTTTTCTTTAAATAGTAGCTTGACTGTAATTTATCTACTTGTAATTATGTGTAACTTGTATCTTGAGAAGCTCCGGTTTCAAAGTATGTTCCTTAACACAGAGTACGAGTCTATAAATTAATCTACTGTGAATCATGTGACCTAGTTGTCTTTCTTTGGAGCTTGCATCTAAACAGCAAAGGGGACATAAGGAGTCACTTCCTGTCATGCCACACTTAAATGGAAAGTTCCACAGATGTAGAGGTGGCGACCTTTTCTTTTTCTACCAGGGTGCTTCAGGGGCTATCGGATGTCTTGGATCTCAGAAACGTGGAAGCAGGTTAGCAGAGTCACTCGAGCAGTTCTGCACATTTAACTGTTGTCATTTAAATCACGCAAGCGTGGCATGAGGGCCTGACTGGAACAAACCTGCTGCTGAAACAGCAAGCACAAACTTTAGCCAAATTTCTCACATCTAAACACCAGAAGTTCATTAAAATTAGATTAGCAGTGTGACTGAGAAAAGACAACCAGAGTTCAGTTTTAAAGCTGTGCACAAGACAGGATCAGTAAAATGTGTCAGTTTTTTTCTTCTTCTTAAACAAATGCACAATTATTTTCTGATCACGCTTTAGCAACTGGTATGAGCATGTCCTGCAAGAGAAGCCTCCGATTGTAAACGAACTTATGAAATTGTGTGAACATGAAAATATATACATAAATATTTATATACGCATATGTGTGTGTGTTTTTTTATTGTACACATGTAAAACTAAACATTTATATAAAGATAAATATATAAATATAAATACAATATCTAGGAGAAAGTGTTTAAAATATATACTTAAAGTACTTGACAAATTAATAACAATAATATTATATTTGATATAATGCTTATGCTATACATAATGCATTTGTTCAATTAATACAAGATAAAAATGAATTGTATAATAACAATATATTAATGCTGTTTGGCTTAACATTAAGCTTGATAATAATTAGATACTTAAAGGGTTAGTTCACCCAAAAATGAAAATTCTGTTATTAATTACTCACCCTCGTGTTGTTCCAAACCCGTAAGACCTTCGTTTATCTTCGGAACACAATTTAAGATATTTTTGATTAAATCTAGGTAACTACCACGTTCAAGGTCCAGAAAAGTACCAAGATGATCGACAAAGTAGTCCGTGTGACATCAGTGGTTCAACTGTAAAGTTACAAAGCTACGAGAATACTTTTTTGCGCA